AGTAACAACATACTGATACCGGTTAGTAAAAACCATGAATTAATGCTTTGACAAGTCTGCAGACAGACGGCAGGCGAAAAACCTTTTAAAATGCGTGTTTTCTAAATGGAGATTGGCTAAGCTAACGCAGTATATGCTCCGACCGTCCACACTCACAACAACGGCCTATACAGACATAAATAAAGCAGCGACTGTATTCGCCATGACACAGACAGTCTGTGGTTTTACTTGTTTAACTTTTATCTAGTTTCTGAACATATATGAGGAGCTGTGAGCTCTGAGTGCTAACAGCTAACGGCTGTGTTGTTTTTCTGGGGTTCTCATTGAAGATGACGTCACGGCTCCGCCTACACTGCGTTACTATAGATACTACCCCAGTTCCTAAACTGTAATGGAAATGCGCCATAAAGTGAGCCAGTCCTGAAGAGGCCTAGCCATACCGAGCGAGGCCGAGCGAGGCCGTGTAGTGGAAATGCGCCATAATGGCGTATTTCCACTACACTACACTACACTACATGTTCCGTTCTACAGCCACAATAAGGCTGTTTCTCAAGTGTGATGATAATAAAATGAAAAGAGGCATTGGTAATAATATTAAAAACAACAATGTTTGGGTCGTTCGTCGGATAGGCGGTTAGCTGCAATAAATAACTCCAGTTCAACAAACCATATTACAATATCTAAGGGAGCGTTATTTCTGGACCATCTTGAAATGTGACGTTCATATTTGAAAGATACACACATTTCATTGTGAGGTTGATTAATATACACTAAGCCTCTTCAACAATACGTTGACGTTAGCTAGTCTATTTTATGCTATAGTAGAGCATAGCGAATTTAAATGAACCTTAACAATGCATACAGTAACCTAACTAGCAAACTAACTATCTAACGTACAAGGATGACCTTATTTTACCAACCTCGCACAGAAGCCTTTTGGTATACAGTAGCATCTCACTTAATGTTTTATACTTCTCTATTACGTTTAACTTGGATGCTACGCATAGCATCGTTAGCACAGATGGAGCTACCGCTTGCTCAAATGCTAACCCAACTCTAAACATTCATTAACGTTAGCTTAATAAAAACACCAGTAACATAACATAAAGTACGCAGGGTTGACTTACCGAAGAAACTGCATTCATGGACGGTCTGTTTCAACCGCAGATAAATCCTATATTTGCATGACGAATAGTCCACCAGGAGCCAACACAACAAACACGGCCGAGTTCAAGTAGTGTTCTCCTCATGAGCTGAGCCCCTGTAGCATCACGGAGCTAACGGAGCTAGCAGTGAGACAGAGGAGCTAGGAGCAGCAGTCCCGTTGTCATGAAAGGGGAATCTAACTATATACAGAATATGTTTTTGTGGATCCAGGCTAGAAACATCCATTTTCTGATGTTAAGTTGGACATTTTAACATAGGGTCTACGGGAATTGCTCCCATCTGCATCCATCGCCTACAGTTTGCAGCATTGGGCTTCACTGCACTGTCCCGGAGTTCGCCGCTTGGCTCTGAGGCCAGAAGTCGGTTTGATTGCATTCAGGCTCGATTGTATATGCTGTCTGAGTAGCCCGGATGATGCTGCATCGACATTTTTGACGTTGAATTTTATACACCGACATTTTTGACGTTGAATTTTATACACCGAAATTGTGCATTAGAATTTTTTTCACTTGAATTTTTGGGATCTGAATTTGACTATTCTAATTTTTTTAACTTGAATTGTTACATTTTTATTTCACATGGGTAAATTCGGAGCAAAAAAAATTCAGATACATGATTTTCAAAGTAATTATTTTCAATGCTATAAATTCGGTGTCTGATCAAATTCAAATACTTCTGTCTCTTGTTTGCTTCCATACAGCAGCCGCACACCTTTAGTTAATCTGCCAAAAAGGCCACATTATTGACCTGAAAGTAGGGCTGTGCAATTAATCGTATTTTAATCGCAATTACGATTTTGGCCTGCCACAATTACGAAAACAACATAATCGGAAAAAACAATTATTTTGCTTTTGCTAGGTTGTGACAGTGCACTGCAAGATATTTGATCTAATTAATTTTGGTCTAATTTATTTGTATTTATCATATTTACATATGTTTAGTAGCTTGTTGAAGTGCGCTCCAAAATATTTGTTGATCTTGTTTATTGGTATTTATTATTTTGATATTATTTATTTAAATGTAAATATCAATGTATCTTATTTTATTTATTTTTGTATTGGTTTTTCAGTTGAATTATACATTCAGGGTAATCAACAGTTAAAAAGATACTGTTCAAATTATTATTTGTATTTGTTTAAGTTCAATAAATGGATTTTTTCAAAGTCAATGAATAATCGTATTTAATAATCGTGATATCAATTATTGACCCAAATAATCGTGATTATGATTTTTGCCATAATCGCACAGCCCTACCTGAAAGTACACAAAAAGCACACTTCAGATGCTCAAGTTCCTTCAGATGCTTCACGCGTTGAAATTTCACCGATATCTGTTACGGTTCTTCAACAAAACGTTCAAAAAGCCTCAACAGCTCGACGCCAAATCTGAGATCTCACCATATGCCGTTTCCATGGAAACACGATGTTGTCGTGATACCTATGCAAATGGTCTAAAACAGCACCAGACTTGAGATAATGGTTAATGGTCCGGCCCTCAACAGCTCTATGTCAATTATGGGGTGTCACCATAGGCTGTTTCCATGGAAACGCATCCCTCGCCATAAAACACGATGTTGTCGTAACTGATGTGAAAATGGTCAAAACACCACCAGACGTCAGATGACAGTTAATGGTCCAGCCCTCAACATGTCTATGTGCCATTAGTGAATTTTCCTCAAAAGCTGTTGCCATGGCAACGCATCCCTTGCAATAAAACACGATATTGCTATAACTCCTATGAAAATGGTCAAAAAGTGCTAAAACTTCACATGTGTGCTAACCAGTGACGTGCGGTGAGGTTCATGGCTGGTGAGGCACTGACTCTTTCAGAGTCAGATTTACAAATATTATATTTTGACCTTAATCTAAATATTCGGTTATTTTCAAAAGCTTTTTTAGTCTGATGCTTCGATTCATTTTAAACAGACCGTTCAACAAAAGGATACCCAAAATCTAAATATTGGATTGTTCTTTCTTAGTAAGATCCCATGTTCATTACAATTGTGGTCTTACCTTGACTTGAAGATGAAGTCCATGCTATCCTTCTGGACAACAATCTCCATTACTTTTTTGTAAAAGTCCTCCTTATCTCCCTCTAGTTTCAAAACAAAAGTCTAGTTTGTTGTTTGCGTCTACCGTCTCTGCGTAGAATAACAGTAGCAACAAGAACCTGTGGGCTCACGTGCGCCCCCTTCAGTGCGGCAGAGGTTATAGCTGCCTCTCCTGGTGCTTTTTTCATTGCCGTTGTATGATGAGACCAGCGGGCCTAAATATCATATATACGTGAAATAAGTTATTTAGAGACTATGGATGGCGAGGATAAATGTAATAAAGGGATCTACAAACATTACATTGGTGACATACAGTGAGAGGGTAACAGGCATGCGCTTAGGGCCCGCTTTCCAGCCAGTTTCTGTGGGGTGACGCATTCTGAGGTGAGGCAGATCTCATCTGTGCCTCACCTTACCCCACAGTAAGCAAATGAGCCTGGCTTGAGCGCACTCACAAAATAAGTGCCCGCGCTACATTAGTGCCCGCGCTCCAGTCAGTTACTGTGGGCTTACGTGAGGCAGAGCTCGTCCCTGCCTCACTCCTCATCGCTCCCATGTAGTTGTAGCGGAGCTCGGCCAATTTGCTGATTTTGACTATAAAAAGCGATTGGAATCATACAGAAATCACACTTACAACACAGATCAGTGGAGACATTTTATTATTATTACTATTTAGTTTTTCTTTAGTTGTTTTTCTGTTACATTGGAGTATGACAGGTGAGGCTCTGCCTCCCCTGACTGCATGTCGCTGGTGCTAACAGTCCAGCCGTGAAGACATCTAAGGGACAGTTTTGAGATTTCTTCAAATGTCGTTGCAGTGGCAACACAATGCTCGCCATGAAACACGGTTTTCTCATAACTTCAGTGAAAATGCTCCAAACGGCCCAAAACTTCACAGGTTTGGTAACACAGCCATCAACACATCTAAGCGTATTATGGGGTGTCATAAAATACCGTTGCCATGGCGACAGATCATTCGCCATCAAGTTAGTTCAATAGTTTGCAGTTCAAATATTCTGCTGCTTTTCCAAGCCTTTTTACTTTCTTTTCTTCACTTATCACACATTCAAGCCCCCAGTGTTCATATATCATTTCAATCTAAATTCTTCACTTTCTTCTTACACATTACTTTTCAGCATAGCAGTTTAGCATCAGCTTTTCAGCATAATTCCCACTAGCAATTTCTTCAGGAATTGCATTCTCTAGTTAACTTTGGTGTCCCTCACCTAGCAACGAGCACTTAACAAGACACATAAGATGCAGGTTACATCTGTAAAATAAAGACAAACATGTTTATGGGGGACATTTCCCTCACTGAGAGATAAAATAAATATAGTGTTATAAGATAGCCATGTCCAGCATCCACTGGAGCAATGATACTTCAAAAAGAAAGGAGGAAGGTAGTTCTATTGTTAAGAGCTCTATCTTCTGTTGAAGTGAAAGTGAACATTCTGATGCTGGTTTAATGTTTTGAGAAAAGTTTAGTTTTTGCTGAGTTTTGGCTTGGATAAGTAAAACAACAGCCAGTTGAGTTTTTCCACCTCTCAAGGTTTCTGACCTGCAATGCTAAATTAAAATCCCTTTTTTGGGGAAAAGCCATAAAGCCAACCAGCATACTTTTATACCTGTTGTCTCGACAGGGAGAAACACTTTTCCCTCAGTTATGTAACACTATAAAAGATTTAGACCTATCCCAGTTTCAACTGTTCGAAAGGAAATGTAGCTTCGCCTCCTTTTTTTCTTCTTTTTCCTTAACTTGTCTTCCCTTTCTACATTTTCTCAGTCCGTCAGGCTGTACTTTCTGGGGGAAGAAGCCATGGAGCAGGAAGAAAAAGATTCTTTGGCAGCTGGGAACGCTTGTTGGAGCCCCCGTCGGCATCGCTCTAATCGCTGGTATTGCTATCCCCGCCATGATTATCGGCATCCCTGTATATGTTGGGAGGAAGGTGAGGAATTGGAGACACATTTTTAAGTTCCCCTGCTTATAGAGTTTCTTGGATAAAGAAGAACATTGACTCATTTGGATCTGTATATGTTAGATTTACTGTACGTAGGGCTGCCCTGGACTAAAGAGATTTCTAGTCTAAAGTAGTCGTCAATTAAAGCAACTAGTCTGTGCACGTTTATGGTATATTATGATCAATAATATTATTATTTCTGTACATAAGTTATATATGAAAATAAACATTATCGTTTGTATTCTAAATGTAAATGAATATAAGAAACAAATAAATACTACACAGCAAACACTGACAAATATGCACGTTGGCAAAAATACCTTCGCACATTATGTCCTCATCATGGAAGTAAAACTTTATTCATTTTCTCTGAGGTCAGAATGATTATATATTATAGGTCTATATTAGGGCTGTCAAGTTAACGCGTTAATAACGCGTTAAAGCAATTTTTTTTAACGCCACAAATTATTTTAACGTGCGATTAACGCATGTGTATTTGTCCTCGGCCCGCCCCGTAGTTTCAGAGCCCAAAGGCTTGACGTTGTTGTTGTTGTTGTTGTTAGTTGGATGGTGGGAGATTCTAGCGAGAGATATGGATACAAAAAAAGGTGTTTTAAACAGCAAGCCAAGCACACAGCTGATGCTGACAGCCCCGCTCCTGCCGATCGCTTGCGGCAGACCACGCTTGAAAGTTTGCTGGGGAGACGCCTGGACAACAACAGCGATAGCTAAATGGGTAGCTACAGCTTAACATTGTGGAGGACGAGGGGCTGCGTTAGATAATTCGGATCGCATGCTTTGACGGCCCGTCCACATGGCGGCGTGCGTTGAAGCTTCAACGCTTCTGCCCATTCACTTTGAATGGGGTGACGTCACGCTTTGCCGAACTGCATTGTGGTTCCGTCGCCTCGCTTTGCTCGCGTTGCTCGCTTCAAAAGTTGAGCAATGTTCAACTTTTGAAGCTTAGACGGAAGCGTCAGCCAATCAAATCATATGCCAGTACAAGCTCTAGCCAATCAAACCGCGTGCTTGTGTGTCCGGGGCGGGAGATTCATGTGATTGGTTGTTGGTCGAGTTTCAGACACGCCCGCCGGGCAAGCTTCAACGCACGCTGCCGTCTGGACGCTGTGTGACTGTTATGAAGACAGAGGAGCGGCATTTCGCCGACAACTGTAAACAGGCTTGTCTGTTTGAGCAACTGGCTCAGTGCAAAGAAGTACACAGGGTTGGGAGAGAGTGTAAGAGAGAGAGAAAGGTTCCAGGTTGTTGTATTGAAAATATTCAGGAGAATATTTGTCATTGTTCAGAGGTTGTTGTGTTGAGAATATTCATGAGAATATTTGTCATTGTTCCAATGATAATAAACAAACATTTGCATAAAGCATATTTGTCCACTCATATGTTGATAAGAGTGTTAAAAACTTGAAAAGTATTCCTCTAAGGTACATTTAGAACAGATAAAAAATGTGCGATTAATTTGCGATTAATCGCGATTAACTATGGACATCATGCGATTAATCGCGATTAAATATTTTAATCGACTGACAGCCCTAGTCTATATATGTTGATATAATGCTAAGCTGCTGCCTCGATAAGATGTGCTCTGATTGCCTGGATGTGGAAGGCGACTTTTTGCCGGCAGAGTTTGCATGTCTTCCTCTCAGTAACTAAACGTTTTGTAAAAGTAGAACACATACTGTCATGTATTTTCAGCCTCTTAAGTTATCCTAAGCCAGCTGAGGTCATTAGTTGTTTGTGTATATACTAGGGCTGTCAAGTTAACGCGTTAATAACGCGTTAACGCATTTTATTTTTAACGCCACTAATTATTTTAACGTGCGATTAACGCATGTGTATTTGTCCTCGGCCCGTCCCGTAGTTTCAGAGCCCAAAGGCTTGACGTTGTTGTTGTTGTTAGTTAAACATTAAGGTGCAGCATTTCGATTAACTGAAATAATCTGTACTGTACTAGTAATCCCCTAAGCAGCCAGCTTGACATTAGGCTTGTCATTGTATTTTCATGTTTTTTTTAAGAAAAATGAACTTGTCCACATTGCTTGCCGAAAAGGCAGATCTGCTGGCACTAATCTCCTGCTGTGGAGAACACCCTCTCGCTAGGGACAGAGGTAGCAGATACAGCCAGGTAGCGCTTTGCTAATATGGCAACATAAGGATATTTGGCGTTTGTAATAGCTTTGGCTCGGTCTGAACTTTTTGCGAGTGGTGGAGGCTTAAATGCTAGTGGGAGTTGGGTTTGCACTTTAGTCATTTTTCTTTTGGTACCGGTGATATTCACGTTCGGGTGATGCCTTTTCAAATGAGTGTGCAAGTTTGATGTATTGCCAGCCGCGTAACCAATTTTAGTTGAACAATGCCGACAAACAGCTTTGGTTCGGTCCACCTGTCTTTGTCCGTCATCCTTGTACGTAACTGCGAAACCAAAATGTTCCCAAACCGGAGACTTCAATGATGCTGGAGGATTTTCGAGCTCAACTTTATCTGCGTTCGCCATTTCGCTAGTTCCTCAAATTACTGACTAAATTTGAACGCATCCCTGTGACCAGCTCTCATAGTATGCCTCTCGTCCAATGAAATGACTTGGCCGCTCTATGACGCGTTGAACCCAATGTGAGAAAATTACACTGAATGCTGCGACGCAGCACCTGAGATTACTTGCAAAAAGTTGTTCACGTTCTCAATTGTTTACGTTTAACGTTATATTCGTTCGGTACACTTCGGTACACACGTGTACCGAACCGAAGGGCCCATACCGAATATTTTCGGTACGAATACGTATACCGTTACACCCCTAATCACAGCGCATTATTTTGACCCACAAACTTCAGTCTCATGCTTTGACTGTTAAGGCCCTGACACACCAGGCCGAAATAGGCCGTTTTCGTTAGTCGGACGACGAAGCGTGCCCTGTCGCCCAAACTCAATTTGGTGTGTCCCGCCTTATTTGGCCTTTCATGGCTGACGCACGGCCGATTCAACATGTTGAATCGGCCGTGCGTCGGCCACAGGCAGTCGGACAAAGAAATCACTCTGATTGGCTGTTCAGCTAGCGAATCAGTGCATGAGAAGCGAAACGGTTGCTTGAGAATGTCTTCCACAAGCAACACTCCAATGGCTGATCCAGTACCGCACGAAACATGTTTTCGATGGACGACCATGACAATGGAACGTAGGGCTGTGCGATTATGGCAAAAATCATAATCACGATTATTTGGGTCAATAATTGATATGACGATTATTAAATACGATTATTCATTGACTTTGAAAAAATCTATTTATTGAACTTTAAAACAAATACAAATAATAATTTGAACAGTATCTTTTTAACTGTTGATTACCCTGAACGTATAATTCAACTGAAAAACCAATACAAAAATAAATGATACATTTAAATAAATAATATCAAAATAATAAATACCAATAAACAAGATCAACAAATATTTTGGAGCGCACTTCCACAAGCTACTAAACATATATAAATATGATAAATACAAATAAATGAGACCAAAATTAATTAGATCAAATATGTTGCAGTGCACTGTCACAACCTAGCAAAGCAAAATAATTGTTGTTTTCGTAATTGTGGCAGGCCAAAATCGTAATTGCGATTAAAATACGATTAATTGCACATCCCTAATGGAACGCACACGCTATTTGTTGTTTGTTTAGATCACGCAGTCTGTTCTTCTTCTCTGTCTTCCGGTTGTTGCCTCTTTTGAATTACGAATACACACTACCGCCGCCTGCTGGTAAGGAGAGTTATTGCCACTCACGCATGCGCAGTTCGTACGTGCTCGGCTAAAGTCTTTGCGGTGTGTTCCAGTGCGACACATGGCCAAGACGCAGGAGAACACGGCGACGCAACAGTCGGCGTCGGCGAGTTCTCTGGTGACTGCTTGGTGTGTCAGGGCCTTTATGAAGACAGAGGAGCGGCATTTCGCCGACAACTGTAAACAGGCTTGTCTGTTTGAGCAACTGGCTCAGTGCAAAGAAGTACACAGGGTTGGGAGAGAGTGTAAGAGAGAGAGAGAGAGGTTCCAGGTTGTTGTATTGAAAATATTCAGGAGAACATTTGTCATTGTTCAGAGGTTGTTGTGTTGAGAATATTCAGGAGAATATTTGTCATTGTTCCAATGATAATAAACAAACATTTGCATAAAGCATATTTGTCCACTCATATGTTGATAAGAGTATTAAAAACTTGAAAAATATTCCTCTAAGGTACATTTAGAACAGATACAAAATGTGCGATTAATTTGCGATATTTTAATCGACTGACAGCCCTAGTATATACACTTGGGTTGTGCTGTATCACTAATCAGTTTCTGCTTGTCCAATAAGAACTTGACATTATAACAAAATGAAAGTATTCAGACTCTCCAGAATTCCCCTTTTTAGGCCTGCCAAAAAGAAGCTAGAGCCAACAAACTTTTCCTCCCTGACAAACCAGAGCACATTCAGCCGGGTTCACATGACACATGTGAAACATCTGAGCATGAATCACCTGCATTCCACATGCCTTGCATGAATGAAGCTGTTCAGTCTTGACTTTGAATATGGAGCCTGGTGAATCACCATGACAAGGCCAGTTACTTGCAATATAGTTACAAGTCTCATCAGAAGTACTTTGTCTCTGTGGCCTGAGCTGGCAAAAATCTCTCCTATGTCAACCAAATTCTGAAAAATATCTCACTTAAATCTTTATTGGCAAGAATTTCAACATTAAATGAACCTTGTCACTCAGTGACAGAGGAGGACAATAAAAAAACTGATTGGCTGAACAGTCTGTGTTTGCCTCGGACAGACGTGTTCCCTTTGTTCTGACGCTCTGCTGACACACAGACACTGAATCAGCACAAACACTTCAGACAGAGTTCACATCTTTTGAAACATTTCTCCCAGCAAAGGGATCAGAAGTCGAAAATGCACTGAATGTTGGAATCCGGAAAACGCTCATTACACGGGGAGAGAATCCTGCAGCATCCTTCCCGGATGGGAACCACTGCTTTAATCTATTCTCAAAATATGTCAGCTGTCATCGGTGGCTGGTTACTGTACACTGGAGAATTACTTTCCCACTCTGGCTTGTTGGCTACCATGTGACCAGTTGTTAGGAGATTAAAATAACATGAGTCTTCCACTCAACCCAACAATGTAGAGTTGTTGACACTGTTCCTGTCTACTGTCAGTCCTATAATGTGGTGTCTTCAAGGCCACAAAACTGTGCTCTCAGCTGATTTGGACACAGACTGTGTGAGTCTCATTGCTCTGCTTCTCTCTGAAAGATCCACAACCGTTATGAAGGCAAAGATATCGCCAACCACAAGAGGAACCTGGTGATCGCGGGGGGGGTGACTCTCTCTGTCATCGTGTCTCCAGTGGTGGCTGCAGTCACTGTGGGTCAGTGTCCGTCGCCTTCACGCACTATTTTCATTGACATATCCTTGTTTTACTTTGCTAGCCTCAGGAATTTATTTAGTTTATTCTCAGAGTTCCTATTATTTAAAAGAATATCTTTTAGCTTACTTAAAGTCAACTAGTTACCTTACTAATCACTAAGTTACATAACATACCATAACATAACTATTGAAAAGTGAATTGTTTTTTACTCTTCTCTACATGAAGATGGAGAAAGAGATGGTTTTGTATATGGTGTGTATGCGATAGTGTGCTCCACTGTTTTGTGTATAATGCCTGGTCTAAAGTGTCCCTGCTGGTCTCTGTCTCTCTGTCTCTGGTCCTCAGGAATTGGAGTTCCCATCATGCTGGCGTACGTCTACGGCGTGGTGCCCATCTCATTGTGCCGGAGCGGGGGGTGTGGAGTCTCCGCTGGGAATGGCAAAGGAGTTCGCATAGAATTTGACGACGAGAATGACATGAATGTTGGCAGCGGGGCGGGGGCCACTGGTAGGCTTCACTGCCCACACCCCAAATAACCCCCACTTCCCCACACCCAAGAGTGACTTTATGTGTTTATTCCCAAGTCTTTGCTGACACATAAACCACCGAGTCCCTGTCCTAGAGAAATCTGCTGGTTTGAAGAGAAAATTGTCCTCTTTGTGCATCTTCTTAGAGACCCAAAGCTCATGGCTTCTTAACCTGTTACGCACCGCCCCCCCGGTACCGTGCGGATAAACGCGTCATTTGCAGGAAACAACGTCTAAGGAATCTTAATATTTAATAAATTAGGAATGTTTTATATCCATGTAACGGGAAGAAACTCAGCTAACTGATCTTTTTAAAAGAAATATCCAAAAAAAAAACACAATGCTAACACTCAGCCTCTGAATTAGCCACGAGCGAAAAGATGTAACCTAAAACTGCACCTAAACTCACTCATAACTCGCTTATTACTTATCCTAGATGCACAGCCAACCCCTCGATTAGCATCTCCTGGAGACACAGAATCGGTGTAAAAAACCTCAACACTCAGTGATAAACATTTGCGACGCTATAAACGAAAGCGTACATCATAACATGTGGAGCTAGGTAGCTAGAAACGCTAACATGGCTTACCTTGGTCAAAAGTGGTCTTCAATGGCATTAAAACGATAAAAAAACGATGCTGCAGTTAATCCATAGGTTAATCCAATGTGTCTGTGTCCTCTTTGAAATGATTTCTGATAATCCATAAGCAATAAAACTGCTTTTTCGTTTCCAAATGTCAGAGCGAGAGATCGGTCCACTCTGCTGCAAAATTACATGCGCGCAGCCCTCACCTTTTCTCTTCACAACATGTGTGTGTGGGGGACTCCCCCTTCGATTATTTTGGCTCTAACGGTCAGAAAGAGGTGTCAACCATCAAAATCGACCAAGGGGGGCCAGAGATATGGAAAAAAAAACATTTTCACCCAAATCACCTCAGAGGTGGGGTGGTTTTGGTTAAACCTCTCTAAAAAGGTCAAATGTCACTTGTTTTGCATCAATCTTGATACAGGGTACTTATTATATGTTGTACTTTGGATTCATAAAGCTTTTAGTCTACTAACCAGAGTTGGGTGTAACGCGTTACTGTAATAATATTACTTTTGTCGGTAACGGAGTAGTGTAACGCGTTACTTTTATAATTCAGTAATCACACTACAGTTACTCACATTGCCCCGACACGCGTTACTTCGTTACTTTTATAAAATCAGTCATAATCACACTGACAGACAAGAGGGGTTTCCGCCGCAGGTTTATATGTACGTAATCTGCGCGACTTGCGCGTCCACATATCCACGTGCAGTGCTGCATAAACATGGCAGAGTCAGCGATAACTTTCGAGGGGTGGAGGTATGCCCATTATTTTGAGTTTGTCCGAAGAATAGACAGGAATGTGACGGTGAGGTGCAAACTGTGTCCAGGCCAGAAGCTGTTATACACTGCTGCAAACACCACGTCAAACCTCAACAAACACCTGCAAAGAACACATGCTAAGGTGAAGCTAATAGCTAAGGACCGGACCCCCGAACCCAGAGTGAGGATGTTGTGAGTCGCCGCCGCCGACTCCGAAGCGGCACAAATTAGAATTTGGAGGACCGGTAACCAAAGCAGAGATGGACAGGCTTGTAGCATCCTTCATAGTAGAGGTAATGTTGCCCATTTGCACAGTGGAATCACCATCGCATCGTTCAGAGATATACTGCGCAAAATACAGATAGCAGGAGACAGAGGACAGCCATGGTCAGAGCTATCTGGATCAGTCTTATGCGACAATGGAAACTGAACTAAAGAAAACATTTGAAACTTTAGCAGTCTGCGTGATCTGCCTGTAGGGAGGGGCGGGCCGGCCCTGCGAGTAAAGTAACGAGTAAAGTAACGAGTTACTTTATGTAGAGAGTAACGAAGTAGTGTAATATATTACTTTTTTTTTAAAGTAATATGTAATATGTAATATATTACTTTTTTTTAGTAACGACCCCATCTCTGCTACTAACCCATCATCCAAGGGTAGTTTTCACTATAAGTAAAAAAGAATATTTGGACGGACACTATAATTTACAGTTTTTTACTATGTAAAATCTGAATTTTCTTTAAAATAAAAAACATCAATATTGATTCTGACACTTCTACATCCAACTCACAGATGTAACCTTGCTTTGATAAAAGAAATTATTCATATAACCCTTTTAGAAGTTAAGTTGTAGTAATTTGTTTTGGGCATGTCATTTTCGAGCCTGAAACATGAAAAACAGGCTTGGTGCTTAACAGGTTAAACAATTCATGATTCTAATTTCATCATTTAAGACCCAGCACTGACCTTCCTTCCCGATTGGGACTGATCATTCATGATGGCTCTTTCTATGCAGATACTACATCAGTGGCAGACACCAGAAACAACCCCAGTATAGGTGAAGGCAGTGTGGGGGGGCTGACCGGCAGCCTGAGTGCCAGCGGCAGCCACATGGACCGTGTGGGGGCCACCAGGGGCAGCCTGAGTGAGACGGCGTCCACCAGGGCCCTGGCCGGGGCCAGCATCACCGGCAGCCTCTCCGGCAGCGCCATGGTGCACTACCTGAACAGGTACTGAAACCACATTTTAGTTTTGACTTTGACAATTTTTAGACTGTTCACACTTAATACAAATATCTGGAATGTTATTATTAAACTGATTTAATCTCACAGGTGTTATGTACGTGCGCGTCAGCCAGTTGTGTTGTAGCAATTTTTATCTGGTATTCACAGTTTGCCTATGTATATCACACCCCAGTCATACAAGGAAATATCTTCCTGTATATCTTCCTTCCAGGCGTTAAGCCGGTCGGTAGAGGATTCAGTGGAGTTAAAAACCAACAGGTTATATGGACTACAATATTGAAATCTGTTCAATTTTTGGAGTTTAATGTTGCAGAGTTTACAGACATTGCTGCTTCGTCATTCTTTGGTATTGATTAAATTATAATAGCTAAATGATTTGTCTTTATGATCATTTTAATTCAGCCATGCAATCTTGTTTTAGTTCAGTTTGAGTCTTTTTAATTAGTTTGAGTTTACAACCACAGCCCTATATATATTAATGATATATGTTGTTGTCAGGCTGGAGGTGCAGGCGGATGTGCAGAAGGAGCGCTGCAGTCTGAGCGGGGAGTCTGGCACCGTCAGCCTGGGCACCATCAGCGACAACGCCAGCACCAAGGCAATGGCTGGATCCATTCTGAACGCCTACATGCCCCTGGACAGGTGGGCTGACCGGCGGTTTAGATTTCAGGAAGCTGTCAGGAGAGAGAAGGCATCAACATGTGTGCGCTTTTCTGTAATCGCTGTCTGAAATAGGAGACCGTGAAATATCTATAACTTGCATACCTTTGATCACACAACATTAATACAGAGTGAATATCACTGCTCACGTCAGTACTGAAGAAAGGCATTCAACTATTAATATTTGAAATTGTAAGATAGAATATTCATGTGGGTTGGCTGTATTTAAGATGAGGATCCAGTATTTATTATAGAAGCATTTAGTTTTTAGTGATGCTCTGTATGTGGGTATGGACCAGGCCTCAATTAAACGCCTGCAGCTAGTCCAAAACGCAGCTGCACGTTTTCTGACTGGCCACAAAAAGCTTGACCACATCACCCCAATTCTGGCCTCACGACACTGGCTTCCAGTTCGGTTCAGAATTGATTTTAAAATCCTTTTATTTGTTTTTAAAGCACTAAATGGGCTGGCTCCGGCCTATATAGCCGAACTCCTCCAGCGCTACACCCCAGCCAGAGCTTTAAGGTCTGCTGACCAGCTGCTGCTGGTAGTGCCCAAGACCAGGCTCAAAACCCGAGGGCACCGAGCCTTCGCAGCAGCTGGCCCGAGGCTCTGGAACACTCTGCCCCTCCATGTGAGGTCGGCCCAGACCCTAGGGGTTTTTAAATCTACACTAAAAACACACTTCTTCTCTCTGGCCTTCTAGCTAGAGCGGACCACGACTCCTGACTTTTCCTTGTGTTTTTTTTTTATATATATCTGTTGTAATTTATTGTCTTTTATTGTGATTGTAGTAATGTGTTTTTATTACATGTACAGCACTTTGGCTCGACCAAAAATCGCTTTTAAATGTGCTTTATAAATAAAACTTGATTTGATTTTTATTTGATTTGACAACAAGCTGCCAACAGTTTAGTGCATCCTGCCTGTCTCTTCGGACTTTCAGCTTTTCTGTAAATCAGCCTTTTGAGACTCTTTTGTCATGCTACCCACACACCCACACCCATATACACTGCTAAAGTTTTCTCTTCATTCCTTCAGATTATTGTTTGTGTCATGCTTCCCTCTCATGTTTCAGAGATGGGAACAGTATGGAGGTCCAGGTGGACATTGAATCCAAACCGGGCAAACTGCGGCGCCACAGTGGCAGCAGCAGCGTGGAGGATGGAGGCCATGTTGGCCGCTGCGGCTGGACCTGCCCCTCCAGTGGCTGCCCGTCCTCAGAAGGCAAAGGCACCTCCACAAAGTGGGCCAAAGAGGCATCCTGCTCCTCCTCCTCCAGCTCTGGGGCCAAAAAGAGCAAAAGCAAGCTGCGCAAGAAAGGGGGCGGCACCAAGATCAAGGAGACACGGGAGGACCTGGACGCCCAGCTGCTGGAGCAGCGCAGCACCCACTCCTCCGAGTTCGACTCCCCCTCGCTGAGCGGAAGCCTGCCCTCTGTGGCCGACTCTCACTCCAGCCACTTCTCGGAGTTCAGCTGCTCCGACCTGGAGAGCATGAAGACGTCCTGCAGCCACGGCTCCAGTGGGGGGGACTACCACCCCCGCTTCGCCACCGTCAGCCCCTTACCTGAGGTGGAGAACGACCGCCTGGAGACCTGCCCTGCTTCTGCTTCCTCCTCACAGGGACATGGAGCTGTGAACTCCCCCCACTCCACCACCTCCTCCCTGGGCCCCGGCGCAGAGCCCCCCCCTCTCTGCTACATTACAGAGGAGAATGTCAACCTGGTGTGCCCTGCTGAGCTGGACTCTCACAGCAACACCAGAGAGCTAAAAGAGAACAACAACAACCACCCCCCCCCACCACAGCCCAAGAACGCCTGTATACAGACTGACATATGACATCTCAATACCTTAAGTGCTGCACACATGCTATTATGAGTTAACATCTTTTCCTCCGAACTAACAACCACAGCGTACAGTTTAACCAACATGTTCTTCCCTTAAAGTTGCTGTGTTATTTTGGGATTTCTTCTCCTTCATTAAAAGCAGCCCTGAGTTAACAGATGTGTGTTTGTCTGCTGACGGGCTTGTTGGGAGTATTACTAGCTTTCCAAAGTGCAGCCTGGTGAGAAATGTAAGGTTATGAATGCTGGTTCTCCCTGAGCGAGCCGCACACTGCGGACTCTTTCTGTTCACAGTTCACTCAGTGACCGCTTGAAACAGATATTGGTTGCTGTCCCATTGATCTGTGTAGGATAAACCCAACCACTGTGCTAGCTCTGCTAGTATTTAATCTTGCTTCCACAATACGATTCACTATTTCCTCTGCCCCCCCCCACCCCCAAACTTAAGTAACAGAAGAACCTTTATTATAATATTTTCCTTCCTGGATGTTTGTTTGAACTGTAATGTATAATCTTAACGCCTGGGTTTGAGATCCTTCATCATTTTTGCGCAAAAAACCCCCAACTGAGATTCTGTTTAGATGGATGGACACAACTGATCCAGTTTAGACCTGAAGCTGACATTGCCTTTAACTCTCAGTGTGTGTTTTAGTGCTAAAATGACTTTGGACACCCTGCTTTGTTCTGTGAAAAGCTTGTTATGATATGTTAAGGGTGGGGGGATTGCTTTGAGAAAGGTCTCTGGAAGGCCACAGTTTTTGAGATAATGCTGAAAGTCATTATATTAAAATTAACCAATGGGTTGGTCAATTCTGTGAAATTGTATAAAGAAAATGTTTTGTCCTGTTCAAAGGTGATTTATTCAGGCTGACGGCCTCGCCTCACTGAGTAAGAGAGAGCTTTGATATCTTTCTTTGTAACTCATGGTGCCTTCAAGAGCTGTTTGTGTTCTGTTCTTCTCTCCACCGTGTCTTTAACACCTCAAACAACTACTCATTATAGGTTGCAGAATGTCTGTCTGTGTAGGAGGGATGCTCATTCACATACACAGCATACTGTGGTAGACATGGTAAATGAAGACTTTTCAATTGCCTACCAAAGACAGCACTCAGGCTTTTGTTAAATCTTATACCGTTGGCTTGTCACCTGTAGACGCAGTATGCATCCTTTGTCCTCCTGGGGGTGAATGAAGCTACGCCCCAGGATTATACAGACACACAGACTGCTGTTTTTGTACATGCTTCACCAATGCAAATATCTGAGGCCTCCCAAAGGCCCAAGGCACCTGCACTGTTATCTGTATTTCTTATTGCGATGATGTTCTGCAAGGCGCAGAGGTTAGCGGGGATACAAAGGTTGGTTCTGGGTTACCTTCCCTGTTGACTTTACTGTGACTTCTGTTTGTGTTGCCAATCGGTGCTGCTGAGCAGACTTGAAGTCAAATTCAGTTTTCAACACTTTGCAGAAAAGCCTGTCTTCACTGCTCAGTGGTCAGCTTTACCCTGAGCCGCTCAGGTGAACCTCTAGCAGGAAGCTCAAAGCATCTTGGATGGTATGTTGACCCAGGTCTGTTACTGAATGATCACTGATTCTGGTTCAGTTGATAAGGCTACATGCTGCAGTCCTTCCCCCCCATTAAAGCAAACATGTTGTCTTTCTCCCTGGGTTCGTTTCTCATTCTTTACCAAAACTTCAGTTTTCTTGATCCTAATTTCCACACTAGTGCCAGATATCATTTGTAATTTGTGCAGAATGGCATTTGTATATTTGTTTGATCATTTGCTTTACTATATGCATATCAGAAAAATAAATAAAAAATATGAATTACTCTTGTCCTGTCCTCTGTTTATCAGGCAATGCAAGCACTGTTAATCCATTTTATTTTTATTTAACTATTTCATTTCACCTTAGCACAGAGAAGAAAACATTTCCCCAGTTGATTGAGCAGCCCTCTGTGAACACTGTACTCTGTGAACACTGTACTCTGTGAACACTGTACTCTGTGAACACTGTACTCTGTGAACACTGTACTCTGTGAACACTGTACTCTGTGAACACTGTACTCTCTGAACACTGTACTCTGTGAACACTGTACTCTGTGAACACTGTACTCTGTGAACACTGTACTCTGTGAACACTGTACTCTGTGAACACTGTACTCTGTGAACACTGTACTCTGTGAACACTGTACTCTGTGAACACTGTACTCTGTGAACACTGCACTCTGTGAACACTGTACTCTGTGAACACTGTACTCTGTGAACACTGTACTCTGTGAACACTGTACTCTGTGAACACTGTACTCTGTGAACACTGTACTCTGTGAACACTGTACTCTGTGAACACTGTACTCTCTGAACACTGTACTCTGTGAACACTGTACTCTGTGAACACTGTACTCTGTGAACACTGTACTCTGTGAACACTGTACTCTCTGAACACTGTACTCTGTGAACACTGTACTCTGTGAACACTGTACTCTGTGAACACTGTACTCTGTGAACACTGTACTCTCTGAACACTGTACTCTGTGAACACTGTACTCTGTGAACACTGTACTCTCTGAACACTGCACTCTGTGAACACTGCACTCTGTGAACACTGCACTCATTGTTAATACATCTCTATTTAAGTACGTTCAAACCGCAGTGAGGAGAAACTGTGGAACATGTGAAGTTATTGCCTCTTGACTACATTTAGTACATTCATGTAGAATTTGTAAAACCTTTGAAAACAATGGTTTGGATTGAGGCATTCTTCATTTTGGATGACTGGAATGTTCAATAATGAAATACTAAACATTGAAAGAATGTCTTTAAGTTAGCAAATAAATGACATATTTCAAACAATTACGCGCATGTAGCTTAGTGAATATACGTATGATTTATTATGCATAAATCCAAACCATTAAAAAGTGATATAGATATACTCTTTCTCTAGAAGTATCTGCACACTCATCCCTAGCCTGAAGTCTGAGGAACTTCTCATGCAGATGCTGCTTCTCTCCAGGTCACATCTGCATGGCTGAGGCTCATCTGGTAAACAAATGGGTGAATGACTTCCTGTCATTCCTTATGGACATGAGACAAAAAACTGCCTTTGACTCTAGACATTAGAATCTTGTTTCCTACAACACTGTCAGTTGATATCAGTTCAACAGATACTGATATCAAACTGCACGGAAGAGCAATGAAAGCAGGTCCATTCCCCCCACAGAGATCATAGAGTACATATGGTCAAAATAAAACTCTTAATTTATCTTATGGATTAAACCCAAAGCAACAGAGACCTTTCTTAGCTCAGTAGCAAATTAGCTCACATGTTCCTTGGCTCTATTCACCCAGAACTAAATATCATTTCTGATTTCAGCTGCTGTCTGAATGAAGCTCGATAACAAAGGACTCCTTCCGGGGAACATGAGCCAGTCCTGAGAGGGGAACACGTGCCTGTAGCGTTGCATGAAATTGTACATTGGACCTTTTTTATCAATACACTAAAGTGATATTTTTATCAATACACTAAAGTGAAAGGTCCATATTATCCCACTGCCTTGATGTTGTACAATGCAAATGGTGGTACAAAAGTAAATCTGCATAGCAAAATGTTCTGGGCAGAAAAATATATTCCTTACTGTCACTTAAACATACAGTGATCAGTTCATCTACAGCACAGCAGTGAACAAGTTCCACCGCGGCACCTTCTGCAGCTTCCTGTCTGTGGACTCAGTTGTTGTGCATCGTTTTGCATAGATCCAAGAGTTGTAGTGGTGCAGATGCTCATGCAGCGGGGGGAGGGGGGAGGGGGGAGATTTGGGGGGTCAGATGTACTTGTTGGCCAGATTCTGGACATCGTTCTTAGTGAACTCTGCGCTCTGCACAGCAGACAGATGCTCAAACAGCTGGGTCATGTGGCGACGCTCGTCCTTCTCCAGCAGCATCAATACAACCTGAAAAAACACAGCATTTCATCACCAAAACCACACAGAGCACAAAAACGTGTTTTCATTCAATAGTCGTCGTGGTGATCTATGTAAGGAAATGTGCAGGCTTGGGGAAAAAAATATCATATGTAACGGAATTACGTAGTTAGGAGAAGATCTGTAACTTTTCCCTTACGGAACGTCTACACAGCAGCGTTAAAAAAATCTTGAAACGCTTCTGCCCATTCACTTTGAATGGGGTGACGTCACTTTGCCTCACTTTTCGCCGAACTGCATTGTGGGCAGGCGAGCGGAGATTTTCAGGATTTTGAGGATTCAAAGTTGAACAATGTTCAACTTTTGAGGCTGAGGTGGAAGCGTCAGCCAATCAAATCCCGTGTATGCAAATCTGACAGTTCAAGCTCTAGCCAATCAAACGGCGTGTATGCTGGGAGAGACATACCGCAGGTCATTTCCTCATATTCCAAAAAATGGAGGAGAAATGAGCGGTAGGGAATCACCCGGTGCTTTATGACCAGTCCCTATTTACCTACCGGGATACAAACCGGAGGAGCCAGGCATGGAGGGAGGTGGCAGAGACAGTGGTAGCTTTTCGCCTGTTTTGGGGAGTTTATATCCAGTTTACTTCGGGCTTTTTTGCTTCGTATGTCGGGGGCGGGAGATTCATGTGATTGGTTGTTCGCAAAGAATCCCCAAGCTTCAGATACGCCCACCTCCAAGATTTTTTTAACGCTGCTGTGTAGACGTTCCGTTACAGTTACAGAGTGACCTTGTCTATTTGCTTACTTTATGTTAAGGTATCCAAAAGTGACAGAAAGTAATCAGGTTACATTACTATATTGATATTGGTTAGGTAACTGATTACTTTTGAACAGGTCAAGGTAACATTTGTAATTGTAACGGAATACATTGTTAATTCTCAATTCCACTTTTTAAGTATATTAATTTTAATGTCCAAACACTGATGCTTCTGTAACAAAATAATTTCCCAAATTGGGATCACTAGTCTGTCTGTCTGTCTGTCTGTCTGTCTGTCTGTCTGTCTGTCTGTCTGTCTGTCTGTCTGTCTGTCTGTCTGTCTGTCTGTCTGTCTGTCTGTCTGTCTGTCTGTCTGTCTGTCTGTCTGTCTGTCTGTCTGTCTGTCTGTCTGTCTGTCTGTCTGTCTGTCTGTCTGTCTGTCTGTCTGTCTGTCCCTTCCAACCCGGGAGATGTGATTTTGCTAAATTACAAAGACTTATATGAAGCATCTCACCGAGAACCTGTGGGCGGTGTGCAGATGATGGAGGTGTTGGTACACCAGGTGGGGGTCTTTCTCCAGGAGGTGTGAGTCCAGTGCTTGCATGATGAAGCTGATGGTGTTCCCATCCAGCTGGGTGCTCAGGAAGTGGGGAAGCCTCTCGGGGGGGGTTGAGGCCAGCAGGGCCGCGCAGGCCGCCGTGTTCCCGCTGCAGCGCGCTGCGTTCAGGGCCTGGCCGTACTCGTAGGCGTTGGTCAGCTGAAGGTTGATGGGTTCCTCCCATCTGGGACTCTCTGACTGAGCAGCGCCCGGCGTTTCCTCGTCTCCAGCAACCTGAGGAAGAAGAATTACAGAGTTATTTACAGAGGAGAGAAGGGGGGAAAGGGTTTGTTTGAGGAACCATTCAGGTAAATACACAGAGTGTTTAGCGTGTAAGTTTGTTATTACCAGTGTTGTGAGTTCAATCTTTTTAATTAATTATAGTAAGGGAACATCTTAGGAGTTAGTGTAGTGAGTTTCAGAGCAGTGTAATTATTTGACCTAAAACTAAATGTTTTTATGAACATGACATGGGGATTTGCTAACTTTTGATTTCCCCCATTTTACACGACACAAATGGAGGCCACTATGGGCCACAACTAACACGTAGGTTTCTGTAGGGTTCATGGCAGACGGATGCAGTTGCTCTCAGGAGGATATATAATAAAGGTGTGTTAGCTGCTGAGCCTATTTAGTGTGCATACGACACACCTGGCACAGTTTATTCATTTCACACGTAGCGTAGCGCGTGCATGTCGTCATCCAATCCTTTTGTCAATCCTTCTTAATCGCCTTCGCTTCCGAATCAGCATTGCTATTGCATTTGACGGGTCGACGATCTGTATTTGTGTTTGCTTAAATAACTCAGACGAAGCTCATGTCTGAGGTCGGAAGGTAAACAGACGCCTCATTTACAGCAAGTGGGTGCGGGAGGTTTTTCTTCTTTTTCTCTCGTTTTTTTGGCGGATTGCAACTTTAAGGTGCATACCGCCACCTACTGTACTCGCCGTGAAGTTGTTTGCGGCCTGCCAGTAAACCCAAAGCAGAAGAAGAAGAGGTGACGTCAGCGGCTTCATTTGCCTAATCCACCCCCAGGAACTCATTTTGGTGTGAACGCGATCTGCTTTAGTTCATCAGAACTAAAAGAGCTCTCATGAACTAAAGTTCTCATGAACTATTGTGGGAAAGGTACTTGGTGTGAACGCGCCTATTCTGGACACATCATGTTGCACTCGTGGTATATCTGACCTCCTGATGAGCGGTATCATAATAAGCACTTAGGGTTAGCTAGAAGTGAAGCTTGTTAAGTAGAAATGAACAGCTTTGTTAATGCATTGTGCATTTGGCCTGATGGTTCAGATTATTTGAACTAAAAAGAGTACATTTTCCAATTCTTGCCGCCATTTGTTTTGCAGTGGTTGGAGAGAGGGCTGTTTCCACTGCAGGATACAGCTTTACTCAACCCGCTCTTCTTTTGCATCCCATTAGGGAAATATGAATAGTAGTGGTATTTGTATTTCATATCAACTCGGCCAAGCGAGCTGAGCCAAATCTTAAAGGTCTCCTATTATACTATTTGTAGGCATATATTATAGGTTTCATATAAAAAACATGTCTCTGAAGTGTTTTGCTCAAAATACCAAACAGATCACCCATTGTAGCATGCCTCATACCCCTCTATTTCAGCCCTGTTATGGCATTTCCACTACAGCGCGGAGCTCGCTTTAAGCGTGCCGAGCCGTGCGGGGCCCGTTTTTGGTTGTGTTTCCACTTGGCGTAGTTCTGGCTAGCGGGTACTATTTCACAGTTTTCTGGCCCCATAAAATCGAGGTTCTTTCCGGGCCAACAACCAGGCTGAGTCGGGCTGAGTATGCTAAACTAGAGAGAGAATCGCTGGCAAGGGGGCTACAACTACAACAAGATGAACATATTTGACCGTGATTTAATTGTAATACACGTTTCAAAATGATGCCGAAGTAACAACATACTGATACCGGTTAGTAAAAACCATGAATTAATGTTTTGACAAGTCTGCAGACAGACGGCAGGCGAAAAACCTTTTAAAATGCGTGTTTTCTAAATGGAGATTGGCTAAGCTAACGCAATATATGCTCCGACCGTCCACACTCACAACAACGGCCTATACAGACATAAATAAAGCAGCGACTGTATTCGCCATGACACAGACAGTCTGTGGTTTGTACTTGTTTAACTTTTGTCTAGTTTCTGAACATATATGAGGAGCTGTGAGCTCTGAGGGCTAACAGCTAACGGCTGTGTTGTTTTTCTGGGTTTCTCATTGAAGATGACGTCACGGCTCCGCCTACACTGCGTTACTATAGATACTACCCCAGTTCCTAAACTGTAATGGAAATGCGCCATAAAGTGAGCCAGTCCTAACGAGGCCTAGCCATACCGAGCGAGGCCGTGTAGTGGAAATGCGGCATTAGAGAAGTGCTGATTCTGGGTCTGGCCCTTTAAATGTAACTGAGCTGCTACTGGCTACGCCCAGTTGGAGCTGCTGCTGGCCACGCCCCTTTGGAGCTGCTGCTGACCACGCCCCTTTGGAGCTGCTGCTGGCCACGCCCCTTTGGAGCGTCCACATGCAAGCAGTGAGCTCTGTGAAGAGAAGGCTGTCTACCAGCAGAAACTCAGCTAAACACTGCCGTGATTAAACACCATATTATGTTCCAAACCACATCAAGCATTATTTCTGAAACAGTATGGAGCTCAAACACTTTCTCCCTCGCGGGTTTACCACAAGGACAGTACCTTTTATATCCGGCTTCTTAGAGTGTTAGCGATGCTTGCTAATGTAAACAAAGACCATTTTACTTCCAAAACACGTCAGGCATTGTTTCTGATAGCAACGTTTCCGTGGGCGTAAAGCCAGCCCACATTTTAGTAATGTCGTCATGACCGCAGCAAATCTGGATCAGCTTCGTTGTTCCCCCGTTTTGTGGGTAAGGAGGAAAAGAGAGAGGGTTTTATTTTCTGACACTTTGTGTCTCCTTACACACCGGGGACACATATTTATGTATAAAAGACATAAAAAAGTGCATTTTGCATGTTATGTGACCTTTAAAGCTGATCACCCTGCCTACGTTAGAGGTTCTATCAGGCAAACAGAAAGTGTCCACCCTGGGATAAGAACTAGAGAAAACACCCTGTGATGGAGCATTGCTGCACCATACTGCAGAGACACAGCGGAACATGCAGCACGTGTGGCCTGTGGTCTGGACTTTGGCCACTAAACCAACATCAACACAGAGCCGAGCGCTTTCCTTCAGTCTCCTTCAGCCCCCCCCCCAAGCCTTAGATTAACTTCTCCAACATGCTGACAAAAGAGTGCCAAGTGGTTCTGCCCTTCTTTTATTCAAAATGAGTGGAAAAGACTATACTGCACAGGAGCTGAGCTTGGACCGTATAGGATATTTCATAAAAATAGAATAATATAAGGAGACTGACCACCCCCATGGGCTATGGTTTATATGTGTTGTATCTTGTTCTTAGATATTGTCTGTTTTGCTCAGATCATTAAAACGACACGTTAATAGCTGTTTCCTAGCTGCTCAGTGCATATTCCCAAAACATTTTCTGATTATTCCAACGGGACATGAATGCAGCACTATTGCCTTACCTCGCAATATTAAACCATGTTATCTTAAAGAGTATTCTATTAACCCACTAGAACACTGCGTTCCCAGAATGCATTGTTCCTCGTGTTTCCTAGAGGTTCCAGAAGTGGGTGGTCAGATCCTAGCTTTGGAGCTGGTCTCCTGTGGAACCCACTACATTTAAGACTCCTCTCTTTAATTAAGTTTAAAGTTAGGGCTGGCTCAGGAGGAATCTATCTACAAGGGGACAGAGTGTGTGGTTTGATAACACAATATTAACAAAAGGGAAACATCATTTGTGTGTCCGCCCCACTAAGTTTTCACTAAGTTTTCTGAAACTTGCACCGCTAGTTTTTCTGTTACAGAGGACAAAAACAAGCAGAAAGAGCAGCGTCCTCGGTGGAGGGAATACAAAAAGACAAGTGTATCTACCTCTGTGATGGGGACAGTCGTCCTGGGTTTGGCTGGGGACACGTTGGCCAGACTCTGTCTGAGCAGCACCGTCACCTCCTCCAGCTCCTTCTCAGCCTCCTGCACGTTGGGGTCCTGCTGCAGGACCTCCTGCAGGTCTGAGCTGCAGGCCATATAGTCCTGCAGCACAGCATACCAACATGTGTAAGTAGCTGAGAGCTCCAATATTAACTCATGAAATAATAATAATGTAAGGTGAACTTAAAGAGTGCCCTGCAGTCTTGGTTTCTAAATAAACATTTAGCATCCAATCACCTTTAGGCCTCTGCTAGCCAGGGCTCGTCTGTAGAAGGCCTTCTTATTGGTCGGATCCACTTTGAGAGCTGCATCACAGTCCTGCTTGGCTTCAGTAAACCTCTCCAACTTCAAGTAGCACAGGGCCCTACACACACACACACACACACACACACACACACACACACACACACACACACACACACACACACACACACACACACACACACACACACACACGTGTTAAATAGATGAGATAGCATTTTAATCTCTGAGCATTCATCCAGCGTTTTGCTTTCCTAATGTGTTCGGTATTTTCATTCAGATGGTTCTCAGCTACAGTGTGTATTTGCTCTGGTGTGGCTGACATACAAGCTATTTACAAGCTAAGTAAAACAGGACACACAATAGGCTTTTCTTAAGTACGCAGGATCACATTTTCCTCGCCGACATGATTAAACATCTACGTACTGCTGTTGGAGGGAAAGTGGGGGTGCTGCCCTGCCTGCTGCATGCTTTGTGCTTGCTGTGTGTGTGTCTGTAGATGAACATGATAGAGGCTATAAATGGAGTTGTGATCAACAGTGATGAAGCAGGCAGCTGTTTCCTGAGCCTCTGCCATTCAATACCAACAATAGAGGCTCATTTACTAGCAGTGACAGACTGATGAGTGGCTAGGATTAGCCAAAGGGCTAAATGCAGCAGAAACCAGCTGAAGATAATGAATCAATCTGTTATCATTTATCCCAACCAGAACATTGCATTTCTGACATTCCTGCATCATAAGGACACATCCTAATGAGGAACAGAAAGTAAAAGCCACCACTAACCTGTTGGTGTAGACAGCACACTCCTCTGGCTTCAGCTTAAGGCATTCAGTGTACTTCCCCAGTGCGTCCTGGTATTGGCCCTTCTTCACAAAGTCGTTCCCTTCTTGCTTCACTGCTGTAAAACGGACTTCTGCTTTCCTTTCTGGAAGACAAAGTCCAGTTGTGATTACTCATTGCTGCTTACTCACATGTCATTCTTCTTTCTGTTGAAGTAACCCACATTGACACATTTTTTAACCCCCCTTTTTTATTTTCCTACCACAAGGTTATGCCAGTCTTTTATGCTATAAAGCTGGAGGGTTTTAAATCCTTGAAATGAATGCTGTGCTAGCTAGAAGTGAGGCATGAGAGTAAAGTCAGCAATCAGTCACAGTGTGGACTAAAGGCTAATCAATCTGCTGCAAAGGGTCTTATGGGAGGGAGAACTGTGCCAGCAGGTCTATTCTTTCATTGGAGTTTAAAAATAGCATCTGCAGCACAGCCCAGGGAGGGGGAAAACTGCATGGTCAGTAACAGAGTGACACGTCCACTTATATAAAATCCAGGCTTTTAACATTCTGTTTGTATCTTAGTGCAGAGTGATGGAGAAACAGGAACAAGCTGAATGTTGGTGGTGAAAGTGTTGAGAGCATTCTCTTCTGCTCCTCGCTGTCAAACAGTGGTGGAGGGAGAATACAGGTCATTGAATTCTGGAACTGTTAAAGTACTCAATGAAGATACAATTGAAATTGTGGGTGTAAAACTGTTATATCGCTGGATCATTATTTTTGATACATTCATTTAACTGTTGTAGTTGTTTTAGGTGAAGCATTAAGCATTTATACACTGTTGTGTTGCAGTCGAATCTAAAAGATACTATCCATACTACTGTATACTATCACCATATGTTTTGTATTTGAATGTCTGCTCAGAGCTGAGTGCAGTCTTCAGACAGGTCACACTTTATATCCAAAGGTTACACTAAGATCCAGGTTAAGGATGTACACAGGAGCCTCCAAACACTGTCAACATGTGACTTGTCGATGTAAGAATGTTTAAAAATAAATCCAAAGAAAATGACTAGCGTAGGAATCACAGTACCATCAAAAAACATATTTTAAACATTTTGTTATATACTGAGTATTGTGATAACAAATATTGCTATATATTGTGATTTATATATTTAAATTGTAATTTTAGATCCATCTGTAGTATGTACAAAATAACCTTTTGTGATTTCTTTTTCCCATGTCTGCATCTTTGTATTGGCCAATCTACTCAAAAAGCTATTGTAAATCATTAGTATAACAGGTATGGATATCTCGCCTCTGTGAATAGATACAATATTGCCACTTAAAATACTGCAATATTATACAGTTACAATCGCAGCGTTTTGGGGGACAAACCTTCAAAGTTATGATCAGAAACCATGTGATCTTAAAGAGTATTCTATTACCCCACTAGAACACACACATTGTTCCTCATGTTTCCTAGAGGTCAGAGAAGTGGAATGGTCAGATCCTACAGCTTTGAAGCTGGTCTCCTGTGGAACCAGATCCAAGTTTAGGTTCTGGAGGCAGAAACCCACTACATTTAAGACGAGGATTAAGACGTCCTACTTGAATTAAGCTTAAAGTTAGGGCTGGCTCAGGAGGACTTCTATCTACAAGGGGACAGAGCGTGTGGTATGTTGTACATACTACACGCCCCCTGTGGCAGATTTGTAATTAGTGTTTTCCGGCTTAGATGCATGAAATTTGCTGAATGATTGATTGATCAGGACTTGTTCAGAACAGACCTGCGTCTCTGGCTGCCTTCTCGGCCTGGGCCTGCAGGAGCTCGGCACTGGGCGGCCCCTCTCTGCGGTGCTGCTGCGCTGACAGGGGCACCAGGGGGATTTCAGGGAGCTTCTCCCTCCACTCCGGGCCATCCTCCTCGATCAGCTGCCGGGTGATCCTGCAGGAGGACCAGGATCAGTCAGTGTGGCTGTCACAGACACAAGTGGAATATACTACACACAGTCGCACACAGACAAGGTGTTAAAAAGCTCACCGCAAGTAAGTTAGTGTGTATCTATACAAGCATTATATTGTCTCATAGTGTAATTATATACGGTTGTATGCTAATGCTATGATCTACTGTTTTGCTAAACACAAAGCAGCCAGGTGAGTTTACCTATTGCATAACAGAGAGCGGACATGACAGATTTAGCCTGGAGCTGGAGCTCCTTTTGAACACCAGCTAAATCTGTTGGCCACTAACAAGACTTTGTGTGTTTGTTCATTTGATTTGTTTCTTTAAACATATGATTACAATGCCATTTCTGGATTTTAGTATAGAAAAATATTCAAAAGGGCAAATTATATTGTGTTTTATGATATTGTACCTTTTTATTTATTTACTTATCTTAATACATCTAATGATATAATCACCCAATGGATAGCAAGGACACTTTCATGATAGATCTCTGTATCAGTACACTTAAACAGGTAGTTATACATATTCAGCCAAACTATGGCCGATAAGACCATTCCCTGTTAATATGAATGTTAAAACTCATTCAGGCTCCTCTGTGTTTCCGTGAGAGGTGAGGGTAATACCGGTTGACACTGTCGTTGGCTGCCTGCACGCTGATGTCGATCTGCAGGACGGTCTTGTAATCCACGTAGGCCTTGCGGTAGCGCTCCAGGGAGTCATAAGCCGTGGCCCGGCGCAGGAGGGGCTTGAGGGAGAACGGCTGCAGCTCCAGGGCTCTGGATGGTATAAATAGATGTGATGAGACAGGAGCAAAGGATCAAGTCTGCCGCCTCTGCTACAGATCCTCACTGAGAAGTACTCTACATTGGGATTGACTAGGAATCTATTGTATATGTTTGGATGTGTTCTTGCACTCATGTACTGTGTGATATACTGTCACACAACCCAGTTTTCTGCTTGCCTCAGAAGTTGAATCTTAAGCAAACACACCAGGTATTCACATGGGAGGTTCCCACAGGTTCTCCTACTTACAGAACTTCTGAAGAGATTAATGACTATCCTTTTCAACACACCGCATCGCAAATCCCTTCATAAAATAACAGTGATCTGCGACTGAAGTGTTTCAATTGATAAGGCTGTTTTCTAAAAATTAGAAAGCCTTTCAATTAAACAACCTCTTAAGGCTTCTCACACTACTTATACACACAGTTGAACAAGTTTAGGAAATAGAGACTCTCACCGTGTGCAGTCCTGTATGCACTCTTGACAGTTGCCATCTTTAAGGTAACACGCTGCTCTGTTTGAATACAGAATACATAGATCCTCAGGACTGTTCATTCCTGCAAAAAAGAGAAACACAGAAACTTGGAATCTGCTTGAAATAATATAAGTGGCAAACATCAGAAATAGGCATTATGAACCCCTTGGCTGGTTTAATGATGGCTTTAAAAAGTCTGTATGTGTTATGAGTCATTTATCATTTTCAAAGAACATATTGGAGTACTGCCAAACAATTACATGCAATTTAGCGTCTGTTATATTGGCAATAACTTAACACACTCCACCTGTGCTGCTGTGTGTGTTTTGCAATTATGTTATCCTGTTATGACCGAATGAAGAACTTGCATTAGCATTAGAATTGTTAATATACTAACAAAAAATGTCTTCTACTTGCCTGTTATTAACTGAACATGATATTGAGGTATGAGTCTCAACAAATGAACTCGACCAGGCAGCAGGCCCACCTTTTTCCACTAAGACATCCTAATACGTCCTGCTATGTTACCAGATTAGCATTATGGTATAACACAGGGCCCACTGAGGGGAAAGCTCCTGAAACGACTTTTATGAAATGTTCTCCTGAAAGTTCGACCGCCTGCTCTCAGGCTACTGCACACAGTATTTGCTATTCTCAGACAGCCTGTTGTTTCCACAATCATTATCATTGACACAGGCAAATCAAGCTTATACTGTATATTAGAGCATTCTGTTGCGACACTAAGACAGACTTAGCATGCCACCCGATCAGCTGATTTGAGATGATGACACGGTGAGGTAGTATGATGATGTCTCAGAAAATGCTCACAGTACATCAACTGTGTTAACGACTGTAAAAGAAAGTGTGAATGTAAATATTTTTTTCTGGATGTCTCCCTCCCTACAAGTTCATTGTCTGCATTTAATATATGCCACTTTTCTAGTCTTTGCAACCACTCAAGCACTTTCTACGACACAAGTCAGCTTTCATAGACATAGATACAATGGTGGCAGAAGCTTACTTAAGGTGCCTCCTGCCCATCAGGAGAGATCAGTTTTCACACACATTCATTATGCTATCAGGAGTGATAGATTTTGGGTTGGCATAAATAAACTGCAGGGGCTGGAGATCAAACCACCAACCTCCGATTGGTGGATGTATCCTCATCTCTACTTTTATCTATGTTGTGCCTGCATTACATGTAGCCATCATACAGGTAATAGACCTTGGACAATGTGGATATTCAGTCCCTTTAACCCCAGCAGCACAGTGGGTAGGAGATAAACAGAGAGACTATGTTGAACCTGACAGGCAGCGGTTTCTCCCTCTGTCTCCCTCTCTGTGAGAATTATAGCTGCAGTCCTACAGATTCAATTTCACAGTGAGTGGTTAGCGGTCATGTGACTAGGCAGACCTGAGCTGAGAGGCTTAGCACCGGGCTGAGGCTCAAACATAAACACTGTCCCACCATGCACCTCAACTGCCACAATTTGGCGCATTGTTGTAAGGAGAGAGTCACGGAAGACACAAAACAAACGTTGGGACCTTTTAACTCCTGAATATTGAACCATTGCCATTTGCCACAGTTCCACACTGTACAGTATACACAGTCATGTGGACTGCTTCTTTGACATCAGTTCGCTTGTTGAGGTTTTTCCCTCATGGAAAAAACTGCCTTTTAAGTGGTTTTAATTTGTACCTCCACTGATAAGGCAACACAAACTAAAGGGAAGCACTAGGTTTATAACTGCAAGGTCATGACCTTTGATTTACAATAATTGCGATGGCCTGTTGGAAAAAGTCCTAAAGAGCATTGATGATTAAACAACATAAAGCAACATGTATTCAAATAAGGGGGATAAACTGGTGAAGAAGCTGGCCAGTTAAAGTACAGACCAGCTGTGTATAACACCCTGCTATAAGAAAACATGTTATTACGCACAAGGAGGCGCATCTAAACTTCTTACCATTACCATACATCCAGCTTTATCCTCCACACAATGTGACTGATCTACCAACCACCACAGACTATTATATTATTGTATCTATGGTAACAACAACAGCATCCACCATGATGAGGACTGCTCCACCTTACCTGAATCTGTAAAGCCTTGGATGGCTTGTGAGTATTTCTCCAGTGCGTCGGCAAACTGTCCATTTTTAAACAGCAGGTTTCCTTCATTCTTTAGCCGGGACAGAGGCGGGGGCAGGGCTCCACATGGAGCATCAAGGTTGACGGTTTCCCCTGCGTTTCCTCCGACCGGAGGTTCTTTCCTGCTGCTGGGATCAGCCGGGGCTGAAGCCGTGGAGCCCCTCTTGCCGGATCCATTGGCCACCTTCTCCTTGGACTCCTGCGTGACTCTGTACTTGTCTGCGCTCGCTCCTTTGCCTCTCCGATGTCCGTGGTGGGAGTTGTTGGGCTCACTGTGAGGACCCCCGTCCCCTCTGCTGTGGGGCTTCTTTTGAGTGTTACCCATGTCTCCCCTCTCGACAGGAGCAGCTGAGCTCTCCTCCCCTCCCACAGGCTGGCTGGGTTCAACCGGACGGGCTAGAAGGGCGAGGGAGGGAGGGAGGGAGGGAGGGAGGGAGAGGCAGAGGGAAGGGAGAGGCAGAGAGAAGGGGGAGACACGCCCACAGGAAGGAGTCAGTGGTTACATCACAGTGGGGGAGGGTTGGACACACATGACACACAACCACTTCAGAGAGGGAGTTCCAGGAAGCAGCCATGCTCAGTGAATTATGAAAGTGCTTGGTGGGGGGAGGGCAGATAACACGCACGCATAGTATGTCACGTTACCCAGAGGCAGCGCCATATAGAGATTATTACTATTATACGGCTCTGCCCAGAGGGCCATGGGTGTTTCCTTTCTCTGCAGCACAGGAGGGGCTGTGATGAAAATGACTGCTATCACCACTTAGTGTTTCTGAAGCATTCTCACATGTTTTGTGTAATTCATTGGATTAGAGAGCAAATCCTTTGCCAGGCAGAGGAAGTAGGGACTACAGCTATACTACAGAATAGTGTAAACATATATATAAAATGTAACCAAAAACTCATAATGATCCTTTACATCTAGTTATTAAATAATTATAAATAAGAAACGTTCTGTGGGACATTTGACTTTGGAAGACAAACCTTTGTCTTTATTATAAACCGTAGGTCATTGAGACACTTCCTGACTATATTCATAAATATAAATGTTTTAATGGACGGAATTGTCAACATCTTTAAATGTGAACTTTAAAGACCACAGACCTATCAGCCAGATATTCATTAATAATGTTTCATAGACATGTTCTTCTTTATTTCATTCACTTTGTTGTTAAATGTTTTCCTATCCTAGATTAAACCAGAATCGAATTGTTTTTGTAATAAAATAATATACTATAAGAGCCAGAGGCACTAGCTACTTTTATTGGAAAAGAGTTGGCAGCAATGGAGCTTTTCTATTTAATTATTTAATTAAAAATATATATATTTTACGCTGTTTGATTACTTTAAGAAGAAGAAGAAGAAGAAGAAGAAGACATACTTTATGAATCCTTCACAGGGAAATGTCTTTCTCCCCTCTGTTGTGTCCACACACATTACACACACACAGAGGATATACATGCACACACACATTACACACACACATAGGATATACATGCACACACACATTACACACACACATAGGATATACATGCACACACACATTACACACACAGAGGATATACATGCACCTCTCCATGCAGAGGAGAGGTGCAGAGCAGAGAAGCTGCCAGTTAGCCGGCGCCAGGGAGCAGTTTCCAGGGTAGGTGCCTTGCTCAAGGGCACCTCGGCAGTGGCCCAGGAGGTGAACTGGCACCTCTCCAGCTAACAGCTCACACTCCGTATTTTTTATATTATACCATTTTTTCATCGTATTATGTACATTGGTCAAATTGCTGAATTGGTTTTATTTTAAATGGTGTTTTCACAGTCCAGATTTTCTCTCTTATTCACAGCTTGACAATCATTTAAAACACTTGTAAAGTTACAATTTGATATGACTTATTGGTGGACATAAGGTATCAGAGTCAGACTTTACTGTACAACTAAGCAAATTCAGTTATTTGACCCACCATAGAGCTGTTGCATCTACTCAACTAGGTGGTTCGTTTCTAAATTAAGAACAGTATTAATAACTAGATAATGCAATTCCTGAAGAAATTGCTAGTGGGAATGCTTTATGCTGAAAAGCTGACGCTAAACTGCTATGCCGAAATGTAATGTGTAAGAAGAAAGTGAAGAATTTAGATTGAAATTATACATGAACACTGGCGGCTTGAATGTGTGATGAGAGAAGTAAAGAAAGTAAAAAGGCTTGGAAAAGCAGCAGAATATTTGAACTGCAAACTTTTGAACTAACTTGATGGCGAATGATCTGTCGCCATGCCAACGGCATTTGATGACATCCCATAATACGCTTAGATGCGTTGATGGCTGCATCGTTACCAAACCTGTGAAGTTTTGGGCAGTTTGGAGCATTTTCATAGGAGTTATAGCGACATCGTCTTTTATGGCGAGGGATGGAAACGGCATATGATGACACCCCATAATTGACGTAGAGCTGTTGAGGGCTGGACCGTTAACCATTATCTGAAGTCTGGTGCTCTGAGCATGTCAGTTGGAGTTATGACATCATCGTGTTCCATGACACAGGTGTTTATATTTGAGCTAACGACGTGTCCAGAGATTAAAGGTTTCCATGGTGATATAATAATAATAAAGAATTTTGTGCGTAGCATAACAGATAGTTGGAATGCTGTGTCAGCATTCCCACTAAATAACCTACAGTACAGTGAACATACTAGAACCAAAACCAGGGATTGACATTAAATATTTAGAAGTTCACATATTTTCTTGTCAAAGACTTGTATTTACATAAGCTTCCCCATTATGTAGGAATGATATAAATAATTCAAATAAATGTGGCAAAGGCTATAATTTGTTGAACAACACATTTGTAACAGGTTTGTTAACTGACCAAAAAATATGAACAGTTGGAAGATTGAAAATGGGATTATTATTAGGATTATTTGTAGGTCATTGAAAAGTAGAATCATTTAGAAAGATATGAACATTGAAGTTTCTATTTTAGAAAAGCTGACACTGTAGTGCATCGCTGGTTTTAAAAGCGATTTATAAGAGTCATGTTTAAAGATGTGCAATACTTAAAACGTTTATAAAGATCCTCTGAGTGTGTGTCATTAGTTAGCTGATAAAATGTTAGGGATAAATACCTTGACATATCGACTACAATTAGAGCTTGAATCAAACAAGCAACCTTGTATTTGAAAGATTAACTCACATAGCAACAGTCGCACCTGGTATATAAGTGGTGTGGCTGAGTACTTTAACCAGTTGAGCCCCAAGCCTGTTTTTCAGGTCTCAGGCTCGAAAATGACATTCCCAGAACAAATGACCATAACTACACTTCTAAAAGGGGAAAATTAATAATCTTTTTTCTCAAAGTAATGATAAACCTGTGAGTTGGATGTAGAAAAGTCAGAATCAATATAGATGTTTTTTATTTTAAGGAAAATTCAGATTGAACATAGTAAAAAAACAAGTGACATTTGACCTTTTTAGAGAGGTTTAGAAAAAAAACTCCACCTCTGGGGTCATTTGGGTGGAAATGGGCGTTGTTGCCGTTTCTCTGGAACCCATTGGTCGATTTTGATGATTGACATCTCTTTTGAACCGTTAGAGCCAATAGAATCTAAGGGGAATTTCCACATACACACCAACGTTACCATTGAGAAGTGGGGGCTATGCGCACGCAGTTTGCCCAAAGCGAAACCTATCTTACGCTCTGAAATCTGAAAACTTAAAACTAGGTTTATTGCTGATGGATTATCAGAAATCATTTCAAAGTGACACAGACACATTGGATTAACCTATGGATTAACCTTCAGCAGCGTTTTTATCGTTTTAATGCCATTGAAGACAACTTTTGACCAGACAACAACAAAGGTAAGACATATTGCCATGTTGGCTACCTAATGCCATGTGTTGTGATGTCTGTTTTTGTTTCTAATGTCGCGAGTTCTTATCATGGAGTGATGATTATACCGTGAGTTCTGTGCTAATGGCGTTAGCATTTTTTCGCTCAGGGCTAATTCAGAGGCTCAGCGGTAGTCTTGTGTTTTCTTTTGCTAAAAATGGTTCATATCATCAGTTAGCTGAGTTTCTTCCCGTTACATGGATATGAAACATTCATAGTTTATTAAATATTAAGAAGCCCTCAGACGCTGTTTCCTGCAGATGATGCGTTTTTCCCGGGGGGATGGGGTTCAACAGGTTAAAGGGTTCATGAATAGAGGGGACTTGAATGTGAAATAAGAACAAGAAAATAAAAGTCTAAATGCATGAAAAAGCAGCAGAATATTTGAACTGAAAACTTTAGAACTAAAAGCATACGTCACCAATAATGTCTAAAATATGTGGAACATGTTGAAGTCAGTATGAAGTCTCCATCAGACGGAAAAGAATAGGCTGAGACAGTCTGTTAAACTCCAGTGACCACGTCATTAGTCTGCTGCTCTAATTATGTCAATTGGAGTTATGACATCATCGTGTTCCATGACACATATTTGAGCTAATGACGTGTCCAGAGATCAAAGGTTTCCATGGTGATCAGTGAGAGGAGAGCATTTTCATTAGGCGCGTTCACACCAAGTACTTTTCCCACAATAGTTCATGAGAACTTTAGTTGATGAGAGCTCTTTTAGTTCTGATGAACTAAAGCAGATCGCGTTCACACCAAAATGAGTTCCTGGGGGTGGATTAGGCAAATGAAGCCGCTGACGTCACTTCTTCTTCTTCTGCTTTGGGTTTACTGGCAGGCCGCAAACAACTTCACGGTGAGTACAGTAGGTGGCGGTATGCACCTTAAAGTTGCAATCCGCCAAAAAACCGAGAGAAGAAGAAGAAAAAAAACTTCCGCTTCCGCTGTATGCTTCTGTTTACCTTCCGACCTCAGACACGGTATGGAGTTGACGTTTTGGTGCTCGTGTTATACAGCTTCGTAACTGAGTTATTTAAGCCAATAACTCAGCCACAAATACAAATACAGATCGACCATTCAAATGCAATAGAAATGCTGAGTCGGAGGCGAAGGCGGTTAAGAAGCCTTAACAAAAGGATTGGACGACGCCAGGGGCGTCGCCTGGACCTGAAAACATTCGGGGCTTAGCCCACAGTGGCGGCGGCGCTACAGTGGAATATTCTACTGCAACACTCCCCACACGCACACACACAGTATACCCGCGACTGTTACAATGAAGGCTCGATAATCAGTTCACGGCATATAGGCAGGGGTAAAGTGCTATTTTTTTATGAGTGGGGGGGGACCTAACCTCCTCTAGGGGGGTCCATGGGGATGCTCCCCCGGGAAGATTTTTTTTTAAATATTGAAGTTAAAAGCATCAATCTGGTGCACTTTGAGAGCAACATTAAGAGATCTATGGATATCTCTCTCAACACCCATTTGAAACAGAACTGTAAACAGATTTACTTTTTCT